AATTTTTATGTTGCAAAAGAGATCGTATTATAATACTATATTAATAATAATAGTGTGGCGTCGCATGTGCTCACCCGCTACCTGAGCGCGGCCGCTAGCACAATCAAACATTTGCCTTCCTATTCGTCTCTCGTAAACATTTCCATTGCGACAGCCCTAATAAACACCAAATGTGCATTAGAATCACATTAGGAACACGTTAGAAAATGTGCATTTTGATCCTCAAAAACTCCTTTAAAAACACTCCCAATAAAACAATTATCCGAACTTTCGCACACCGCGACTCGCGCAGACCTTCCTTTCTTCCCCTTCCAAGAGAATTTCATCTTTTCCCTTCTTATGACTGTCCTCGCAAACATTGTAAAAAAGGCAAAAGGCAATTCCGCAAAGGCAGTTAATTAAGTCACCCAAGTCGAGTCAGTCACCCCAGTCGGTCCGGTCAATTCCAAAAACTCTACATCTCCACACTACGCTAGCCGCGCCCGCGCACTCTCATAGAAAGGAATAAACACTATAACTAAAGACAAAATATTTTGGTTCACTTCCATTCCCCACTAAAATAGTATATTATTTATAACACTATAATACTATATATATTTGTTATAATACTATATCAGTCTATGTTAATTCTAGATCCAATTAAAACACTCGTTTATCCATCTAATCTGCTGCACTCTTGGTCCAAGTGCAATCTGGTGTACCTTTGGTCAGAAATGTCCACCTAGTTTTTGGCAGAGCAAAGATACCCTTGGTCAACGCAAAAGCAACGTGGTCCTCGATTGGGAAAACGACCAGCGAAGTTAACGAGTTATTCTACGCCTATTCGAGCATTTCAAGAAGATCGACGAGCACGCTTCTTCACCGAGATGGCCCGATTCATATGGCAAAATGGTAACGCAGGTTTTCACGTAACCGAAAATTGTTCGGCGGGATAAAAACAAGCGCCGGGAAAAGACGAAACATCTTCATTCACTTCCACTAAAAGACGTTTCACCATTCATTTAGGTACACAGTGTTTCTACGCTACGAAGATCACAGATCGGATTGAAATGCGATGGCGCACAGCTAATTCTTCGGGGATAAAGTATCTCGAAAATATTTGAAACGTTTTTCCGAAAGGTCTCGATGACGCATCAATTTCTGTGTCCGTTCCATCAACTTAATAACGCCGTGACACGTAATAATTACGGCGGTACGCAACCTTTTGAAACGGAGAAATGCTCCGGTGCGAAACTTCTGAGCAGAGCTCTTTAAACAGTGGACATCTGTTGCTACGGAGTACGACAGAAATTCCTGAGAGGTCATCCGCGTGTAATAAATCTAGATTTACCTAAAGTTCTCGCGATAGTAACTTTAGATGAAAGCGGCGATGTAAATCCGCAAGGTAGCGCAAGTGAATGATGATCCTAAAAAATCCCCCGGCCACCACATATATATATGTATATATAGATATATACAGGACTGTTTTATCGCGACGCGGCGTTTTATGCGCCGCGCCTACGTGCATTTTAAGCTGTTTTATCCTTCGTTTTTTTTCCCCGAGACAATGCAACATTTTCTGTTTTCTGTTTTCAGATTTTTATTCCATTTGTATATCCGAACGACGT